TGCAGTTTTTTATCTCATCCCAAATGTATTTTTGTATTTGTTTGTAACATCGAGAAGGAAGCGAGATAGACCCACAGTTACTTTTGATGATCTTCAAAGAATCACTTTCTGAGTCGATTTATGCGTCCGTCCATGTATTTTTGTGAGCTAAAGGCAGGTCGCGTTTATTATCCGAGTGAGATAAAATTTTCCAAACAATATTTGTTTGGCCCAAGGACGAACCCTATTGAAATTGGTGGGTATCAGTTCAAATTCAGACGTAGCTCCCATATATATCGTCTACCGATTTCGGGGTAATTGTGCACCAAATGTCCAACATCAGTCTAAATCACCTGAGTTTTTTGGGCAAAGTCGGTTCAGATATAGCTATTGCTCTCATATATATGTTTCATGCGATTTTGGGTTTTAAGTCCCTCACATGCGTAATATACACTCCACAAAAATTATACTTTGTACCAGATAATTTATAAAGTTCAAAAGTATCTAGAATCGCCCGACTTTGACTTTTGCTTGCTGTTTTTTTTTTTTTTTTTTTTGCATATTCATCCAAGTGGATTTAGTAGCACCCGTGTTTTTAAAGGCTTGACCATATACAAATGTATATATTTCGCTACCTTTAATATAGACTTTAAACTTTTTTAGAAAGCTTTGGATTACTTTAAGAAGTGTTAGTTTGAAAAATGGTTCGTGTCGGTTCATTTTTTGGTATAGTCCTGATATAAGGATACACCTCAATTTTAAGTATTTTTTTTACGCCTTAGCCATATTCGACATTTAATTACGCCAAGTTAGGACATTTTGAGTTCGTAGTAGCAGCTAGATAAATATTATCAATATAGATCCAAGCCTCATGCGAATAAGAAAACTATCCACAACTACTTCGAATTGCATTTTTCGACATCTACCTGTAGCCGATTTCAACATGGAAATAAAATTTAGTTTCCAGTTTTTGTTTGTTTGCATTTCCAACAGTTCTATATTTAAGTGTCAAGAAGGTAGTAGTTGTTGCTGGTGTTGCCATTTAATACATTGTTGTTCACATCCCCACTTGCAGTTGTTTTGTGCATTTGACTTCGTTGTAGGTCGATTGTTAAAGCCAGACAGCGAACGCATACGCGGGTGGACTTTTGAAATGAATTGAAGGAAATGGTCTGAACATTAAACACCCGTCCACACAACACACATAAATATACTCGCGCTCTCCCACGAAATAAAAGAAACCCCATCTGATATTGGCAAACGATGCTCTTCGGCAGCTATATATAGGAGAAATATCATTATTATTTTTCATTCGAACTATCTTAATAGGAAGTGCCACTGGGTTGGTGGGGGTGGCGGTGGTTCTGCTGGCTGTGGATAGTGTTTGTGTTCCTGACGCTTGCACTGGAACTACTCGTAGTTGTGTCGCATTGAAGTTCTGTTGTTTGTGCTTGCACTTTCCTTCAACGGTGGTTACCATTGTTAAAGGTATTCCCAGTTCGCGTCGTTTTTTAAGGATCTTAAAAGGAAATTATGTTTATAAAAGGTTTCCGTTGCTGCTGTTCCCCAAAGCCATCACATCTTTCCTTTATTTTCTATCAATTTCATTTTGTCGAGTCAAGTCGAGAAGACGGAAAAATATACGGAGAATATTCACTTCCGTTTTCTTTAGTTATTGAATTGAAAATTGTTTCTTGACAAAAAAAGCGAATCGAAATGTTAGTTGAAGTAGCAATAGGAGAGACCACACCAACTGTTCCAAAGGAGGTGCTTACAGTGACAAACTTACTTTGGATTTTAGGTGAATGAAAGAAAGTTACAAATGTTCGATTGCATGAAAAAAAATTGAAAAATAGTAGCTAACAAAGTAGATATTCACCCCCTAAGCAGATATGTTCCGCACTTATAATCATTTCAGAAAAAATATTCTCTCAAGGACTATTAGACCTACAATCAGGAGTTTTTAACATTTCTTAAGGACTCTTAGGGCTATAATCGCAGATTTTTTCTTTTTTTTTTCAAGAATTTAAGAGCTATAATTGTGGATCTTCCATTTTTTTCAAGAATTTTAGAGCTATAATTGTGGATCTTCCTAGGATATCTTTTCAAGGACAGCCAGAGTTATAATCGTGGATTTGGGTATATATTTCCTCAACGACAATGAAGGCTATTTTCTGTACGACTATCAGAGCAAAAATAAAGGATTTTTCACAAAGGACCAACGGAGCAGTAGTCGCGAATTCTTTAAAAAGATGCCTTATCATGGACTGTAATATCATATATTCTAAGGACTATCAATGCTATAAACGTGAACTTTATGAAGATATTTTTCAAAGACTATCAAAGTTGTAACCGTAGATTTTAAAGGACATGTTATTATTTTATTATTATTTTATGTAATCTTGGATTTTTATTTGAGCTATAATTATATTTTTAAAGGATATTTTCTCAAGGATTATCAGAACTACAATTCTGAATTTTGAAAGTATGTTTTCTCAAGGATTATGAGAACTATAATCATACAGTTTTAAATTATATTCTCTGATTATGTGCTAAAATCGTCGATATAAAAGGATATTCTCTAAATGACTACCAGAGTTATAATCTTCAAGTTTTTAAGGATAATTTTCAAGGACTATTAGCGCTACAATCGCAAATTTCTAAAAAGTATCTAAAATGATTATTAGAGTTATTTTTCCGAAGGACTATCAAGGTTATACTTATGGATTAATGAAAGATATTTTCTCAAGGACTATCAGAGCAATTTTTTAAGGATATTTCCTAATGATCTTTCAGTGTGAGTTTTTTAATAATATTTTCTCAATCAATGATTTTTAAAATCATTTTTTTAAAAAATATTTTTTTTTAATCGTAGATTTTTGAAGAATATTTTCTCAATCGTGGATTTTTTCTTAATTGCGGACTTTTAGATGAGCGTTTTCAAAGAATATTTTCTCAATCGTGGATTCGTAATGAATTGTTCGATGATCGTCGATTTTTTCGTAAATATGGAATTTGAAAGGATAAGTATTCAATTGCGGAGTTCTAAACGATTTTTTCTCAATCGTGGACAATAATTGTTTTTATCAATCGTGGATTTTTAAAGGATGTTTATAAATTGTGGACTTTTCAAGGATTTTTCCCAATCGTGGATTTTAAAGGACATTTAATCAATCGTGGACTTTCTTAAATGCTTGGATGCTTAAAGTACATTTTAATAATCGTAGACTTTTCAATTACTTTTTACTCAATCGTGGATTTTTAAAGGACATTTTATCCACGGTGTATTTTTTAAGGATATTTTTCTCAATTATGGAATTTTAAAGAATATTTTCGCAATCATGGATTTTTTATAGATATTTTCTAAATCGTGGTTTTTAAAGGCTATTTTCTCAATCGAAGAATTTAAAAGTATATTTTGTCAATAGTGGATTTTAAAGTATTTTTTCTCAATCGGATTTTTAAAGGACATTTTCTGTATGGTGGATTTTTCAAGGAACATTTTTTCAAACGTGAACATTTAAAGGATTTTTTTTTTGTCAATCATAGAGTTGTAAAGGTAATTTTCTCAATAGTGAATTTTTAAAGGGTATTTTTACAATCATGGTCTTTTCCAGAATTTTTTTTTTTGTTAATTGTTAATGATTGTTTCTCAATCATGGACTTTTTAAGGATATTTTCTCAATCGGGTGTTTTCAAAGTGCATTTTCATAAGGATTTTCAGAGCTATATTTGTGGAGAAGTCAATATGTATCTATTGTTTTTTTTTTTTTATTTGGAAATTCTTATTTTTTAATTTCTTATTATTATTTTTTAATAACGTTTGAACTTATTCGTGGAATTGAATTTCTTTTCACTATTTTATTATTTTGGAGAGGTAACGCAAATTGTGAATCGAAATAAAAAATACTGGACTGTACAAACTAAATCGTATTATCCATTTTCTCACCCGAAATATAAGAAAAGTTGGACCTATTTTTCATTTTGTTACCTGACAAGTCTCATACGAATATTAAATTTTTCGACCAACTTTAACTAATGTGAAGGATGGCATATGGAGTCGACCGATACTGTCAATCTTAAAACTTGATCTAATTTTATAAAAATATTTCGATGTACCAAATTGGATACTGACTTATTGTGAGCCCCCACCTGGAAAGAGTGAGAGGGAGAAATGTAAAAGAACGTACGGACCTAGTTAGATCGATTCCTGGCCTAAAACAAATTTTGTCAACAGAGGGCTATACAATAAGCGGAATGGAATAGGTGAATCAAAGATTCAAAACAAAATTTATCAAAGGAGCATAAAATTCTTCTTTAGTTTTGCTCCTCTGACTTAATTTTCCTCCGCCCAAATTGGCTGACGCACTGTGTAATATACATAATTCTTTCCTTGGAATTTTAGCATAAATGTAATTCTATACAACTATGGAAGATGAGTTGTATTCACCAATACGGATAATATTTTGAATCCATTTACAGGAATAATATTTTTACAAAAGTGGATAATACTTCTTTTCTATTTCATTTCGATTTTAATAAAGTATGTAAGTTTGGCCACTTTTCTATTCAGTATTTTGTTCACAATTTGAATGTCATTGTTTTTTTTAAAAAAAATATGTGTTTGTCTATTACAATTCAGTTGCACAGTTCTCAGTTCTGGAAACAACAACAATACCACACAACATATACGACAAGTATCTGGTTGTAACAACACTCATAGCTAAAAACACAGCCGTGTGTTGTATTGGAATGTCAGTAGAATTTTTTTAGTTTAGTTTGGATTGTCGTTTCGGGTTTTCAGTTGTATCGCAATTTATTGCTGCCGATGAACATTCAGCCGACACGCAGTTTAGTTGAATTAGTCAACAATCTCTCGGCGTGTGTGACATAAAAAGAAAATGGTTCAGTCTATTAGTTTGGGTATTGATGAACGTTGGGGTGGTTTGACGGAATTATATAGTAAGAGTATATATAACAGAAATGCATTTTCTTGGACTACCTGTAAAATATAAATTATTATGGTAAATGGTTCCGAGGACATGTTGTTCTATATTGCCCCAGGTACGTCTCTTCGTAAGGAAATTTGTTCGATAATGAATAAGGTATCCAATTGGGGTACTACCGCTTTAATACGAAATATTTTTTAATCCATTAGAAATGCACCTCTTTTTTATACTTTAACCTTCGAACTCACGAATTTAACGTGCCCTCCCACTATAAATTTACATATACTCGCAAAAAAACACCATTTCTCTCTGCGGGCTAAAAATGCATTCGAACACATACATGTTCATGAAAATTGAATTAAAATTGAATAAATATTGGATTTTGGCACTCAGTTGACACATCTACATATGTATGTGCATCGATGCGTGGTTGTATGTGTTTTTGTGTAATTTCATATCGAATCGAATCTATATTGCAGATGAATGTGTATTGTTTTTTTATGCCAATTTAAGTGGGGCTATAACATGCATTTTACACAAAATTTTAGATATGAATTGCAGGAAGAATAGAGCATTTTGTTTTCTTTCTTCCAGGGCTTTCTCTCTCTCCATTGATTTGTGTTATTAGCCATTTCGCTGTAAGGCAAATAGTAATTTAGATATTGTTTTATTTCTTGCATACAAATTACATAGAATGAGAGAGAGACATTGTATGGAAATTAGAGTTAGTGGTAGTTGTGAGTCACATACATTTATAAACAATGTATGTGTATAATCCTCTAATTCCAGGGGAAAATATACGAAAATATTTATTTAACAATTGTTGTTCCAACATTTGTGATCTGTAATTGATTTAAGGTTAAATCGCAGAATTGGTCTTCGCTGCAACCGGAATTAATATTTTAATATATCCTGGGACGAATACAAAGTAATGATGAAAAATATTATTTTTATTCTGGAATGTGGCAAGGAGATTTTTTATTTACAATAAATGTTACCGAATTATTGGGAAAATGCTGAAAATTCGTAGATAGGCTACAGAGGATATATTTTATTTGAATCTTCTTGAACGCCTGTCTGTCTATCTGGGTGACGGGTGCGCGCAATAACTCTCGAAAAGAGTATCCGTTTCGGTGCAGACTTTACACAACCTTATATTTTGAACTTACATAGATAAGGATCGAAGATTGGTAATATCGATGCACACCTTCTTCTTCTACTATCCCCATTAATAGAAAACAAGTAAAAAAAACTGTAAATTCGGCCGGGCCAAACTCTGAATACCCTCCACCATTTGGGACGAATTTGACAATTCTCAAACAATAAAATCCTTTAAAAATTCTGGTAAAATCTTAAAAATACCGAATTAGGGTCTATTTGACGACATGGAACTGCATAGGTAACTTTTGTCATAGGCCATTATAATATTCAAATGTGAAACTTAAAAAAAAAACATCGGTGAATAATGTCGCTAAAATCATCAAAATATCGGGAGGTACCGTTATATGGGGGCTATACGAAGACGTGGACCTCCACAGACAATCTCCTGTCGTAGGCTGTAGAATCCATTACGGACATTAAATACCAAATTTGAAACAATTCCGGTGAATAATATCGCTAAAATCATCAAAATACCGAATATGGGAGGTACCATTTTATGGCGACTATACGAAGACGTGGACACGGGACGAACAATCTCCTGCCATAGGCTGTAGCATTCCATACGAACATCAAATACCAAATTTGAAAGAATTTCGATGAATATTGTCGCTAAAATAATCAAAATACCAAATATCGGGAGGTACCGTTATATGAGGGCTATACCAAACCGTAGACCTACATGACCCATTTTCAATACCAAAAGTCCTGCAGACATAATATACATTTGATTAAAATTTTATCAATCTACTTCAATTCGATCGGAAGCTAGTGGGATTTTCACAGGAGGACAGACGGACGGACACCGCTAAATCGACATAGAATTGTATGCTGTTCAAGAATATATATACTTTGTGGGGTCTAAAATGTATATTTCGAGGTGTTACAAACGGAATGACAAACTTAATTTACTGTGGTGGAGGGTATAAAAAAATCGGTGAAAAATGTAGTTAATATAGGGAGGTACTATTATATGGAGGCTAAATCAAAATGTGGACCTGCACAGAAAAATTTCTGCTTTACGCTGCAGTATCCATTACGAACTTGAAATGCCAAACTTGAAACAATTCCGGTTAATAATTTCGCAAAAATCAAATCAAGTACCGAATATGGGGAGGTACTGTTTCTGTGCAGTAAATTATTTTCTTCGAAAAGGTTACCATTTTGTGGTGGAGGAGTGGACCGATATTGCCCATCTCCAAACTCGATCTAAGTTTGGTAAGAATATTACGATGTACCAAATTTGGATCAAATCGGATACTTACTTCGAGAGTTATCGTGAGCACCGACCAGACATACGGATGGACGGACGGACGCCCATAGCTAGATCGACTCCAAATATCCTGAAACGGATTTGGGGTAAAACAATTATTTCGAAGAGTCACATTTTGGCCGTATCAAATGATATATACCCTCTCTAGTCATATGGCTGAAGGTATAATTATATTTCATACAAGTCGAATTGGGCATCTGGTTCACTTTAAACTTCTCACAATTCCAATATTTCTACTAACACAAGATATCTTTTAGATATTGTAGATATCAAACCACTCCTTCTGGTATCTTCCTCACATAAGGGGTCAAAATTTTGAATAATTATATCTCTTTGAAATAAGCATGTGATTCCTTCCAAACTTCGTTAATTCCAATGTTTATACTTACATAAGATCTGGTGTGAAGATGACAGATATCGGTCCACCTCTTCTAGTACCTCTCCTACAGAGGGTCACAAAGTTCAACATTTTAATTATTCGCATAAAATTGAAAATTAATGTTCGACTTTCTATAAATTTTGCACATATTAATATTTTAATCAGCATTAGATGAAGTGGAGTACTTCCGCCCCCATGCATATTTCAACATTTTACAAAAATTGTCAAATATTTCATAAAATATAAAGGAAGTATATATAGTTCTAATCTGGCACGTTGTAATATTTATATCAGACTTAGGTCAAATACCCATAAAGGGTCAATAGTTTGAATAGTCATAACGTAAGGCTGAGGGTATACATTTGTTGGCAAAACCGACTGATATTTTTTAACTTCTTTAATTTATCATCATATAAATAAATAACTATTTAGAAACATTTTTGGCGAATACAAAGATTATTCTTATTTTAAAATATTCAGAAGCGAATATTATGCAAAACTAATTAGGTCAAATAGCTTCAGTGAATGTTGGCTGCTATCGTAGGTGTCTACAATGTTATGAAACGAAAACATTTTATTCTGGCGCAATAACTTTAGCAGTAAGGTATACATACGCGAGTGCCAAAAAAAGACAACATTTTTATCAACTGAGGGGAAAATTGTACTTTTCAGTAAATTTATTGTTTAACAGTATATTTCAGAACTGGAAAATGAAGTGGCCATCTTTGGTCATCGTCATTGTTTTCATTGGCATAGCGATACCCTCAGCGAGTGAGTCAAGCAAATAATGATGTGTGATCTAAATTAAATATTTTCTATAATTGCAGGCGCAAAACGAACTAGATCCAATCGAAACAAATATCAATTGTATAGAAATGATGCACTACAAGATTTCGATGGAACACGGTTCTTTCCACAAGTGATCGTAATAAATACAGACAGTGCTACAACACCGAGACCCTCACCGCCAGTATCAATACAACCACCCTCACCGCCACCACCACCGCCACCAAATGGAACATCACCGCCTCCTCCACCCACAACGACTGGAACACCACCCGGATCACCACCTGCGCCACCACCTCCGGCAGCTCCAGCACCACCCACACCTGTAGTTGCAACACGCCTAGGACCAAATCGCTTGAGTGTAATCAACAATGCCGCCGCAACAAATAATAATCCCCTCAATGGAACTTTTATTATTTTAAGTCAACAAAATTCACAGAATCTGGATTCGGATAGTTTAGCATACCTGCAATGGCTTCAATTACAAGCGCTCATAGCCAACGCTCAACTCAACGCACAACAAAATCTAATACCCATTCTAGATACTAATTCGCTGCTATCTTTAATGGCTCAGAACATTAGCAATACGGGACGATCCCAAGAACATCGAAGGCAAGGAAAACGAAAACAACGCAAAAGGAAATTAAAAAAGGTTAAAAGGAGGCGATCTCTTGTTAATTTATAAATTTTGATTTTGATTATTAAATAAACTAAAACTCAATGAATGTCAAGAAGTGTAGATTCTTAACGGGTAGAATTCTGATGACGTAAAAAATGGGATAGTAAAACTAAATCGATAAATTACAGAAGCATTTCTAATATTAATATGATGTCTTGTACCAAATTATCTCCTTCCGAAATGGTAAATTTTATACATTTTTAGAAATTTTGTTGAAAATTAATTTTTTTTTTTTGGTTTACCACCACTCCAAATGGTTTCGAAAGGCATTCGTAGCTACATCGGTAAATGTAACTATTATTTTCTTACAAAAATAAAAGATGAGACTCACAAGCATAAATTGACTTAAAATTAATTAAAATAAATTTTATACATATGTATATATAAACCATATGCGATCAAAATTTATAAAACAAAGACCTCGACTAGTGTTTTAAATGAAAAATTCAATATATTTGCTTAGATGGGGGTTCAATATTATAGGTTCGAATGAAGTTTGACAAATTTTAAAAAATCAAGTTTTTGGGTCGAATTCTTAACAAATATTTTTTAAAAAATGCACAATTTTTACCAGGAAATATTAAAAAATTCACTATTTTTTAAGAAGAACAATTTTAAATGTTTATAAAGTCTTAAAAAAAATTTGACACATTTTTTGCTAAGAAGTTCCAACAGTATTCTTAAAAACATTAGATTTTTTTAATGTAAATTTAAAATAATTTTTGTTTTAATCGAGGGGAATTAAAATATCCCCTCTACCTTTTAAGGAGGTATCTGTAAGTATTCGTAGTAGACCCCATAGAGTATATATATTTATGATTAGCATAAAGTTCTAAGTCGATATAACGATGTCCATCTGTCTTTAAAATTACGATACATCCCACATTATTTGACGTAGAGCTTTACAATTTTTGGTCGTTTCAAGTTATGAAAAAAAAAAACAGGTTAAAAAGTATCAATCGGTTTTGCCGACAGATGTATACCCTCAGCCAATATTCGGTGATATTAATATATGTTGACTTCTATTATGATTGCTATAATTGTTGCCACTCTTTGGCGTAGGTTCGGAAGGAATAGGCCAATATCGACCATTTCGTATCGGACCTAAATAAATATGATATAAATATTGCAACGTGCCAGTGAACGTGAACTATATTGGTTGATTCCATCACTTTATATGAGGTATGTGATCATTTTTAGAAAATGTATGTGAGTTAGAAGTTACAGTCGATTGAAGTATTCCAGATTCATACTTCTTCAAATACAGATAAAAATATTGGTACGGGCAAAATTACAAGAAAATCGAACATTTATATCCAATTTCATGCGAAATCATAAATTCCATATTCATCTCAGGTTTCTGGTTGAAAAAAATATTTAGATATGGCAAGATATAAAGAATTGCTTACTTATTTCACAAGTTTTGATAGATAAAAGTATAGAAAATGTGGGTGAAGTACCAGAAGTGGTTCGCAGATATATATCATCTTCACAACAAATTTTGTATAAGCAAAAATGTTTGTGTGTGGGAAATTTGAAGAGAGTTGAATGCTTATTTCGCTTTTTTTGAGCATTTAGTTTTTCAAAATCTTGGACCCTATGTGGGACACTTGGCAAAAGAAATGGTCCGATCTGTATCTTCTTTAAAACAGATCTTGTGTTGATGTAAATGTTGAGATGCACCAAGTCTGAAATGGAATCGGAAGTTCATTTCGCGTTTTATGAGCTTCACGGATATTCAAAATTTTGACCCTTTGTGGGGGAGGTACCAGAAGGAGTTCATCGATATATCCTACCTTCACAACAGATTTTGTTGTAATAGAGATAATGGGATGTGTAAAATTATGCTTATTTCGGATTCTATAGAAGTTTTGGTTATTCAAAACTTTGATCCTTTGTGGGGGAGGTACCAGAAGGAATGGTCCGAGCTCTATGGATATTACAAGAGATCCTGTATTGATAGAAATATTCAGATGTTCCAAATCTAAATGGAATCGGATGGTAATTTCGCGTTTTATGAGCTTCATGGATATTCAAAATTTCGACCTTTTTGGGGGATTTACAAGAAGGAGTGGATCGATATATTTCATCTTAACACCAGACCTTGGGTTAATATAAATATTGAGATGTGTGAAATTTGAAGACATTCGGATTCTTACATCACATTTTATAAGAGTTGTAATTATTCAAAATTTTGACCCTTGTGGGGGAAGTACTGGATGGAGTGGATCGATATTATCCATTTTCGAACCTGACCTAGCACTAACCCTAATATTAGGATTTGAAAGTTGGGGCAAAATCGGATTATCGTTTCTATTTCTGTGCAGAAAATGTCGACCTTTTGTGGGGAAGGTACCAGAAGGAGTGGACCGATATACTCCATCTTAACACCAGACCTTGGGTTAATATAAATATTGAGATGTGTGAAATTTGAAGACATTCGGATTCTTACATCACATTTTATAAGAGTTGTAATTATTCAGAATTTTGACCCTTGTGGGGAGGTACCTGATGGAGTGGGCCGATATTGTCCATTTTCGCACCTGACCTAGCACTGAGGCAAATATTAGGATTTGCAAAGTTGGAGCAGAATAGGATTATTGTTCCTCTTTCTGTGCAAAAAATATATTTTTTGGAAATTTCGACCTTTCGTGGGGGAGGTACCAAAAGCAGTGGACCGATATCGCCCAACTCCGAACTCGATCTAAGTTTGAAAAAAAATATTATGATGTAAGAAGTTTGTACCAAATCGGATACTACCTTCGAGAGTTATCGTGCGCACCAGCCAGACAGACGGACGGACATCGCTAGATCGACTCCAAATGTCCTGAAACGGATTTGGGCCAAAGACACCTAGGATCTAAAAGCGTTATTTCGACTAGGCACATTTTGACCGTATCAAATGATATATACCCTCTCTTGTCATATGGCTGAGGGTATAACAAGTAAAAAAGCAGCTAAGTACGGCCGGGCCGAACTTTTTATACCTTCCACCATTTGGAAGAAACTTAAAAAATTTGAAAAAAAAAAATCCGTCGGAAAATACCGCTCAAATGAAAACGGTTATATGGGAGCTATACGAAGACGTGGATAAGTAATTTTTGTCATTGGCTTAAGTAACTTTTCCGAACTTTATAGACGATATGTGTAACAATTCCGAAATACCGAATATCACTTGACACTGTTATATGGGAGCTATACTAAATCGTGGATCTAATTAGACAATTCTCTTCTAGGGGGGAAAGTACTCACAAAAAACTCCTTGTGTAGAATTTTAGACAATTCCACTGAAAATGTGGAAATATCGGAAATCATCAAAAAAAAAAAAAAAACCAAATATCGGAAGGTGCCGTTATATGGACATACGATATCGTGGACCTATATAGACAATTTTCTTCTAGGGGATACTGTACTCACAGGAAACTTCTTGTGAGAATTTAAAAATGTGGCTAAAATCATCAAAATGCGGAATATCGGGTGTACCGTTTTATGGGCGCCCTTCGATATAGTGAACCGATGTAGTCCATCTTTGGACTTAACCTGCCTTCAGACAAAATATAGATCTGTGCAAAATTCTAGCTTCCTATCTCACAACAGATGGACGGACGGTCAGGGCTAAATCGTGTTAGAATTCTACGCTGTTGGGTCTAAAATTATTATTTCGATGAGTTACAAACGGAATGAAGAACTTAATATACCCTCCATACCATGTATTGTGGAGGGTATAAAAAATCATCCACCAAAAATTTAGTGCTACGTAATCCATGATTTAACTTTTTAAAATTTATGGGACCAACGCAAATACCCAAACTTAATTTACTACGCTGTAAAAAGCTTGGACCAAATTGCGCACTATCCCCAAAACTTGGAGTCAATCTTAAAATGATCCATTTCTAACCACGTGCAAATTTAACTTTCATTTGTCTTCGATATAATTCTGCGACATAATAAATTCATTCAAATTTGCAAATTCCTAAATTATTTACGATTTAGAAAATAGCGAAAATTATGCAAATTTAAGCATTTATGCAATATTTTTGGCACCATTGTTAATTGGGTCAAATAGTTTTAGAGGATGACTGAAGGCGAATAAACAAATCATTATATTTTTGGACATCAAGTAGATAAGATTGAAACACAACCGGTGTTAGAAAATATATTCTAAAGAGAACATTGTAGATTCCGCTGAATGTTCCCTCTGTGAAGAAAAAACCAGAAGATGAAGTGGTCTTCTGTTGTTTTCATAGTTTTAATTGGAATTTCGGCGTTTAACACAACGAGTGAGTGATAAAAATTTTAGTAATTTTCTTAAAAAAATGTGAATTTCAAAAATAAATGTTTTTTTATTCATTTAGGTGCACGAAGAACTAGACCTAATCGAAACAGATACCAATTGTATGGAAACAATGCCCGACAAGATCGCAATGGTTCTCGATTCTTTCCAAAAGTGGTGATTGTAAATAAGCCCTCAAATGGTACTGTAAATAATCCAACTTTGCCACCTCCACCAACTCCTCCTCCACCGCCGCCACCTCCTCCTCCACCGCCACCACCTCCTCCTCCTCCGCCACCACCACCTCCTCCACCTCCACCACCTCCACCACCGGGTCCAGCTCCTCCCCCTCCTCCTCCACCACCACCACCTCCACCGGGACCACCAGCAGGACCACCGCCAGCAGCCGCACCTGCAGTGGCAAATCGCAGAAAGCCCCAACCGTCGAATATGATAAACAATCCCGTTTCGGCCCATAATAATCCCTTTAATGGAGCAGTTGTTGTATTAAGTCCAGGTCTACAATCTCTAAATTCCAATAATATTGCCGATTTACAAAGACTCCGATTGCAAGCGATCAACTCAAACTCAAATACCCATGTCCAGTCACAACAAACCTTTATACCTGACCTTAATTCAAATTCTTACTTTTCGCTAATCGCACAGAACAGTGGCAATTCAGGACGAGCCCAGCGTCATGGTGGTAGAAAACGGAAACAACGTGTTAGGAAAATGCGAAAAGTGAAACGAAAGCGATTCTATTAAATTTATAGGATATAATGATAGTGGAATAAATTAAGTTTGTAAAAATTCAAATCTAGATCTACCAAAAGTTATTGACCTTCATTTACACTGAATTGGAAAATATGGCAAAGACGTTCAAAATAATTTAAATCAGGGGTTATCTGTGTATAAGGGCTGTACCAAAAGGAACTATATTAATAACTATGCCCTACACCACATAGTGGTAAGGGTATTATGTTATTGCGTATTTGTTTGTAACATGGAGAAGGAAGCGAGATAGACCCATAGTTACTTTTGAGGATCCTCATCGAATTTATGAATGTCAGAATTTATGAATGCAGATTACTATCCGATTGAGATGCATTTTCCCAAACAATATTTGTTGAGCCCAAGGCCAATATGTGCACCAAATGGCTAATATAAGTCCAAATGGCCTGTGTTGCGGTACATCCCATCGAATTCAGTCTAACAGCGAGTTAATCAAATTTAGAGAAAATCGGTTCAGATATAGCTATAGTTCCTAAATATATGTATCATCCGATTAAGTGTTTTAAATCCCTCACATGCGTAATATAAACTCCAGATATACGGTTGCGCATGATAACATTCGAAGGGAGTATCCGATTTGGGTAAAACTTGGTACATCGTAAAATTATTGTCAAACTTAGATCGAGTTCGGATATGGACAATATTGGTCCACTCCTTCTAGTACCCACAAATGGTCGAAATTTAAAAAAAAACGGCACGGAAAGAGAAGGGATAATCCTACTTTGCTCCAACTTTGCAAATCCTAATGTTTGTATCGGGAAAGGTCTGTTGGGAAACGGGGTAATATGGGTTCACACCATCAAGTATCTCCCCCACAAAGGGTCAACATTTTGAATAATTATAACTCCTATAAAATTTAATGTAAGGGTCCGATTTTCAAATTTAAATTCAAATTGCACACAATTTATTAACCCAAGGTCTGGTGGGAAGATGGAATATGTCGGCCCCTCCTTTTGGTAACTCCTCCACAAATGGTTAAAATTTTGAATATCCATGAAGCTCATAAAACTCGAAATTAACATAAGATTCTATTCAGATTTGGCACATCTCAATATTTCTATCAACACAAGATCTGTTATAGAGATGGTAGAGATCGGACAATTTCATCTGGTACCTCCTACAATTCTCGGCATGCAAAATTTGACTCATCAAGGACTACATTTGCTTGTGATTCAAATGACAACTATTATACCCTGACAATTGTTCTAAATAATCCTCGAAATAGAATATACAAGAAGCAAAAAAGCAGTAGGTTTGGCCGGCCCGATCTTTGAACACCCTTCACCATTTGGAAGGAATATGGAAATTAAAAATAAATAATAATAATTAAATAACGTTGAAAATCATAAAAATCCTGAATATATGGATTTAGCGTTATACGGTAAGACGTGGACCTCCTTAGTTTTGTCATTAGCAATTACAATACAAATCAAATACGAAATTTGAAACAATTCCGGACAAACATTAAAATACTGGATATAGGGAGGTTCCGTCATGTAGGGAGGTATCGTCAAAATACCTAATTTAGGGGGCTACATATTGACGTGACCCCCACATGGGGGACTATACGAAGACCTGGACATGCATTGAAAAAAATTTATCGCAGGCTGTAATACCCATTACGAACTGCAAATACGAAATTGTCCGGTCTATAATATCCTTAAAATCGTCAAATACCTAATTTAATTTTTCTATCACAGACTGTGCTACCCGCTGTGAACTACACATACGAAATTTGAAACAATTCTGGTAAATAACGTCGCTTAAATCACCTATGTACCAAATATAGGTACATTTACATGTATTTAAATTTTAATACCAAAAGTCCTGCCGACCAAACACACATGTGAGAAAAATTTTATCAACCTACTGCAATTCGTTAGAATTTTATACTAAATATATATACTTTCTGGGTCGAAAATGGTGTTTTAGGGTTCCGAGGTGTTCCAAACAGAATGACAAATTTAATATACCCTCCATAGTATGGTGGAGGGTATAAAAAGTCAGTATTTAACAGCCAGTAACATTCTTGATAACACTGGGTATTTCTCCCTAACTAACTAGATATAGATAACTAACTATATATATGATATGTTTGACGTGCTCTGATAATCCAAAGAAGAACAACACAAGTTATATGATCCACACATACACTTTATTGCCAACTCCATATGCTCCAGTTTATGTGCCAAGTTTAGTTTTTTTTCTTCATTGCTTCATTCTGCCTTGTGTCAAAGTCAATGTCAAGCAGCGAACGTTCTTCGCACGTACCCAAGCAGACACCAGTTGGCCAACACATGCTAATGGATGCTACAGTTGTGACATTTGTCCTATTAATTGCCTTAACTACCTGTTTTACAAATTAAGTTGTGTTTTATGTTTCACAAAAGATGTTGTGTGTCACAAAAATGAGGAAAATAAAAACAACAACGACAACACTTGTACGTGAGATTATGTTGCAGAGTAAGTATGGCATAATTACAGCTAGAATATAGTGCAGAGGCAAAAAAAATATATGTCTATCTTTCTTCGATAGTTTGGCCAATTACTACTAAACGAATCAACCTAGTACTTCATTATGCTTCATTTTTCGAAAAAAAGAATAATTAAAAAAAAATCAAGTAAGCAAAGGCTACAGTCGAGCGGGACCGACCGTTGAATACCCTACAACACTATAATAAACCATACAGTTGATATAGGCGAGATACTCGAAAGAATTCCACAAGATTTTGTGACAAATAATAAAAGAAAACCATCAGTTTTCGTTCTCTAATTTTCGAATAATAGCAACTTAAACTAATTTGCTCATTTCCAATTTATTGGTAGATGTTGCACGTAATTGGTCTTCCTAGATCTGGAACCAATATTTCCCAAAGACATTGGCTTTTGCAATGTGAGGTAACCTCCATTCAAATGTGCGTGAGGATCGGGCCATAATTACCACCTGCCGACAATTTTGCAGTTTTTTGGTCCATTTCAACCCCTAAATATATGGCAATCATCTCCAAAAGGAGTAGGCTTCTATTCTGACCCTCATCTTATCCCCATGCAAAATTTCGTAAGGATCGGGCCATAAATAAGATCTGTATATGATATCCTGATATCCTAACTACTTAGTTTTGTTAGCTGTAGAAATATTACCAAAATGAAAATAAAAAAAAAATTTTACAAAATCAGTATTTTCATCTTACAGAGATATTTTTATGCGATTTTTTTAGATGTTTTTTCTTTCCTGCCAAGAGGTCATTCTGAATTCATGAGAACTGTCGAAATCAGTACAGTCGTTCTCGACATATAAGAGATCTTTCAAGCATATCTTCTTTGATAGACATATATATCGCACATATTGTGCTATATATCCGATTTGTTGGATAATAACATCAATGTAAAGGTCAGAAGTAACCTTGTGATGGCTTTGTGATTTCGCCGGGATTTAAAGTATTCACGGTTTAATAAAATATTTTGATTTTTTTCAACACAAAAGATATGGTCTATTTTACCCGCTAAATATTATCCGATGACCACCCAAATTAGTAGGCTTCTTCCCCACCCTATACTTTAGCTACATGCGAAATTCCGCGTCGATTGGTCTATAATTGCGACCTGTATAGCTACTGCAAAATTCGACATTTTTTCAGTATTTGGTCCATTTCAACCCCTAAACATTTGACGATCATCTCCAAAAGAAATAGGGTTCTATTCTGACCTTAACCCCACCTACATTCTAAATTTCGTGAAGATCGGGCCATAATTGCGACCTGTAGAGTGATTACAAATTAACATGGACAGACGGACGGACGGACATACATAGCTAGATCGACTCAGCTCGGCGAGCTAGGAAGATCCATATATACTTTCCTATGTGGGAAACCAATATTTCGAGGTGTTACATAATTTTTGGCCCAATCAAACTTATTATACCCTCAACACATAGTGTTGTAGGGTATAAAAAGTTAAAGAGACTGAAACCTTCATATTGTGTTAATTTGGGATAATCGAATGCTATATCTTTTCTAGAGATAATATGCCTCCTATTGATAAGACCAGTACATCCGAAACATCCAATCGTAAGGACGTTTCGACCACCTTCAGATTTTAAGAAATAAGAGACCTTTGACAATTATACTAGAAGGGGTGACATCAGGAAGCGGTGACATCCCATCGTAACATCTTTAAATGTAGAAACTTTTCGGTTTCACTATTATCCCAGTAAGGAGTGTGAAACTGGGGGATAGAAGTGCTTACCAGTTGTCAGATATAAATTACAGATTTAAGGCCCCTTTTGTAAAGCAATACCTAGCCTGTACTAGGGTATTTTAAAGGCCTGTAAGTGCCCGTCACAGTAAATCGCCAGAACAAATCAACTTTGGCAGAGCCAAAGAGTTTTCCTTCTGTATGTGAAGATCGGTTAAATGCAAACTAAGTAGGACTAGCATATGATCATAATGAACTTGGGCATTCTATCCAATATATAGCAATACCATGGAAATGGCATTGTATAAAGTTGTTAGATCATCTGAAGTGTTGGTTCATTTTAACTGACGCACATAGTTCCCACATGTATGAGAAGGTGTTACCAAATTTTTCTATACAAATCATCGATCGGATTTTTTAAGTAGCTTCATAATAAGTAAAAAATAATGTCATCAAGTAAGTGTGAAGCTTGGCTCATGTTTAGGCATAATCTCCACATAAAGGTATCCTCCGATTTAAAGAAATTTAAGGATTTTAGGTACATTTTTAATTGGAATGGACAGAAATGTGTAATCTAAAGAGTGAGCTGAAAAACTGCCACTCGTCCGACAGCTGTTAAAATTATTTCAGTGACAGCTCATTATATTGTTTACAAGAGTACAATGGCAGTTTGGTGAGAATTTTCCAGAAAAAGAGTTATTCGTGATGGAATTCAAGCGTGATAGTGGGATTTCTCTATATTTGGCTGGAAAACGACAGATGGCTATGGTTAGAGCACT